GCAATGTCCTAATTTGGCGTTGTAAGGGTTTTACCATCCTCGAAACACATTCTGATTCTGGTGCTATATTTTTGCATCATAACTTACACGAATATCCTCGTCGCTGGTAACAGAAACATGAATGGCGTAGTCACTGATGAACAGCTAATCGCCCTTTTATAGAAACACAGAGTATTGACGACGATACGACACACAAATGACAACATTGTACATAAGATAAGGGTGAAACTTGTAACAGGGAACACATCCATGTGCATATATATATATATATATATATATATATATATATATATGTATATACATATATATATATATATATATATATATATATATATATATATATGGCTAGTAAGATATAAATGCTAAGGATGGCCAAAAATGTTGCTAGTTGTAGCGAGGCCTGTAGCCGACGATCACACGCTCATACTGAGGCTCGTAGGAAGCACGGACCTCCTCCTCATCTTCCTCTTCCTCCTCCTCCCCCTCCTCCTCCTCCTCCTCAGCGGGAGCTTCATATGTCTCCTCGTCGTCGTCGTCATCAGACACTTCAGGGGTGGGGTACTCGGTGGGCACGGGGGTGGGCAGGTGGTCGCCCTGCGGCTGGAAGCCGCCCTCGCCGGCCGAGTACACCACGGTGTAGGTGACGCCGTCGGGGGCCACGTAGCTGAACTGGCCGCTCACACTGTAGCTGTCGTCATCCTCCGTCTGGCCAGACTCCGACACCGAGATGCCGTTCTCAGTCTCGAAACTGCAATCATGACGAAACATCTAAATGACGCGAGTAATAAGCGATGAGTACGTATTCAGTGTGCCGCATAAGCATTTTTGAGAGTTATGTGGATAATTGAATGACATAAGTAAAGAAAAGTGGCGATATTGGTTTGGTGAAACCAAACATATGCGGAACACCGACACGAGCGGGACTAAAAGACAATCGGCAAGGGCATGTGCCGGCAGTCAGTGTGACTCCATTGTGACCTGCGTTCATGTTTGTATGCTTAACTGATCTTTAGCCTTCCGTGTATTTACCACTTTATTTTAATGGCTTCAGACACGAGCACAGAACAAACGGTGCGATGCATGAATGGCTCTAATCAGAAATGAACTTAATGGCATGGTCTTCAAATATACCAAATTCATTTTCAACATTGCATTTGCCCGCCATTTGTGACTTTGCCGAGTTGGTATCTGACCATGAATATATCGGACTAATTTTGATGTCATAATAATGGTGTAACACGGGCAGCTTCAAAGTCTTCCTCATTGACTCACGACTGTTGGTAAGAGTGGTCGTCGTTGTGGTCGATGTTCTGTCTGAGGATCTCGATGATGTCCTCTTCATAAGTAGAATCAGACGGAGCGGCGGCTGCCACGGCCAGAACGGCGGCGAACACGAACTGAAACGAAATGGACGTTAGATGTATGCCTCGCACTATTTAAGAGGCTCATTTCTGTCAGTAAATACGTAGCGCTGTGCTGTGAGAAGTGTATAAAGGTCACTATACATTTTTTTACCGTGGTATTCGAATTAAATCGTGTGTCTTGCGGGATGGTGTGAAAAATTTCAAACTTTACTCGCGTGTCATTGTTTTGACGACGCCAGTACTCACCAGCTTCATGCTGAGTAGGTGCAGTTCGTCAGTAGTGGACTGATATCCTCACCGCCCGTCGCTGTGTCTTTTATACTGTCAGCTGTCACTGGGCCATCGCAGACAAGGACGCCGTCGAGGTCACCAGAGACTGGCGCGTGGGGCCGGTGAGGCGGGTTTGCTCGATATTTCACATCTTAGAGGACCAACCAAAGACGGTGCTAACTACAGGGGTGATGAGAGCATGCATCCCTCACTTTTCAACACACTTTGACAGCCAACCTGCCCCCGCACGACACTAAGGCGCCCTTACTAGCATCTCTGGTAGTACATCAAGGTTGACTGACTGTATATGATCTGGATGCTTCTGATTCTTGCAAACTTCCACCAGATACTGATCTAGTTTAATGGACACCACATGATAGTCTGGTCCCCGTATGCTGGTTTCCATGTGTGCATGAAAGCTTTGTGATATGCAAGAGCAACCACACATTTTCTAATATTTGTTTTGTGTGCTTGCAAGATTCTTTCAATATCCTTCGTTGTTTTTGGGAAGTCATAAATAAGTTCGCCTGCATCTATTCACTTGATTTTAAGCCAGATAACTTATAGTAACGTTGCAAGAAAATTGTTTGTTGTTGTTGTTATTGAAAATTGAAAAATGTTTTCAACGCAGTGTAGAGCAGTCGGACCGAAAACATTCAAATATGTGCGAAATACGAGACGTGCTCAACAAGACAAACGTGCATCATCAGTTAAAACATTATGTATCCGAGGATGAGGTCTAAGTACCAAACACATACGGGCATACGCACAATCCATTTCCAATCATTTTGACACCATAGCAAGCTCAAGACGTTGAATCAACCTGTCATTGGTCACTGAATAGGTCTTCAGTGATACATGGCCTAAGCTGTGACGACTTATAGCCCCGTAATGCGTTTTGGAAAGTACACTAGACGTACAGTATTGCTCTCTGCGGAAATTATCGTATGTAACATTTTTATTAAGTTTGGCGCGGACAGCACGAATGCTTGAGCCGTAACTGCGAACGTTATATCCTTTTCGATCAAATAATTTCATAAAAAAGCTTCCTCCTCAAATTGCTGAACGTGTGAATTTGATCTATCTGATGTTCCTAAGATGACTTTTGCGGGCGACTTTTGATCACGCGTTTATTAAAGAGCTCGGATGTTTTCTCCACGACTATTACCGTAGGCAGCTTTGTAACTGAAACTTAATGACAGCGTATAAACGTGAAAGTTTCGCTTTCATTGGTATGACATATATGGAGTAACAGGAAGACATGCTCATGTCGGACGACACACTTAACGTCGCCTGACCTGCGATCGAGTTCACAGGTGAATCAGGGATCACCAAGCCGAATTTTTTCAACTGGCTGCTGAGAAGACGGTGTCTGGTTACGGGTGGTTGCGTCATAGAAATGAATAGAAGGCGAGATATCACCGATTGAGAGATTTGTAGATAAGACAATACTAATAGCCTTGTTCGTCGTAGAATGAGCACTAGAATGGAAATAGAGATGGTTTGATATGTCGGCTACAGGTTAGATTTTGTCATCGCTTTTGTTTTGTTAACCGCAAAAGCGCATCACTCATTGCCTGGGATCCAGCAGAGTGGTGATTTGCAAAGATCAGGCGTCTAATTTTACTCTGTTTTGCACGGATATTACTCTTGTTTTACTCTTGCGCACATAATGAGATTGCCGGAGCACTAAAATCCGCCGATGTAACTCAATCACTGGAGGCTAACTCGGGCCGGCCTGCACGTAAACTGATGGCCATAATACGGCGATCCAGAAAAAAAACACTTAAATTCATGCCCCGGATTTACTACCGTGTGCATTCGACAGCACTGGCTCAGAACTATCAGATGCAAGTGAAGCCCACTCATCGGAATTTCTTTTAGATCGTATTCAGTTGACTCATCCCCCCTCGGATAGCTTATCACCGCTGCTGGCGGGCGGGCGGAACTGTCGATTCACACAAACACGGCATACGATCTGTAACCATTTACATTTGCGCACGGAAGGTTTAATCTCGCATAAACGGTGTTATTCTCAGAGCACCCTCGGCCGGCAACGAAAATTTTGTATCGGCCGACGCGACCACCTTTGTTCAAATTACCCTATCACAGCGCACAACTAAAGGTGGCCGACCACAATGCGGATTGATGTCTATAAAACCTCGACTCTTGAAAACGTAGCATAATTGAACCTGGAGATTGGAACTCTGTGCGCTCAATGCCACTCTTATAGTGGTATTAGGTGCCCGTGCAACACATTCGTCATATTTTATTTTCATATTTTATTCTGTCGACATCCCCAATGCGTATCACTCGATGGTTAATGGACCGCCGGAGTGTTGATTTGCAAAGATATGACCTGCAATTTCACATATTCTTGCTTTCGCGCTGCAGGTGCTACCTAGCGCACACGATGTCGGAGCACTACCGCCGGGAATGTAAACTTCTGATCGGCTGACAGGACTTTGTTTATCAAATCACCTTTTGACAGAACGCACCTAACGTTACGCACGCATGCAACAGCATGTTATGCCCTTTATAGTTGACTCACGCTCGGTGTAGGTTTGTGGCGGACACATTTGGGTGGAAAAACCAAGCACCTAGCTTCGGAACATGACTGAGTATCTGGTGAACAGCAACGTGCCGAAGTGGTTGTATATGAAGCAAAACACAACATGCGTCATTGTGTCAAGAAGCACTCTATAGCCTCCGAAGTCTCCGAAATCTCTCCCGGAACATATGCAAAAGATATAGTCCGTTTTGGCAAGGAATTGCACTAGGTTCATCCCGAAGCTGTGCTTTTGGCAACGAGTGGCAATCATGCAGATGAATGGAGGAATTGAAAAAACTGATGATTTGAGGCGTCGAAGCATACGTTTGAATAGAAGTGGGTTAGGTCTGTTGTACCGTTGTTATTAATGACGGAATATCTGGCGGTCAATCACGCGCAATGTCCTAATTAGGCGTCGTGAGGGTTTTAACATCCTCAAAACACATTCTGATTCTGGTGCTATATTTTTGCATCACAATGTACACGAGTATCCTCGTCACTGATAACAGAAACATGAATGGCGTAGTCACTGATGAACAGCTAATCGCCCTTTTATAGAAACACAGAGTATTGACGACGAAACGACACACAAGTGACAACATTGTACATAAGATAAGGGTGAAACTTGTAACAGGGAGCACATCCATGTGGATGTCGTTTAAGACATATGTACCTATCTACCTATATAAATATAAATATATATATATATATATATATTTATATATATATATATATATATATATATATATATAGGTAGATATATATATATATATATATAGGTAGATATGGATATTAAGGATGACCAAAAAATGTTACTAGTTGTAGCGAGGCCTGTAGCCAACAATCACACGCTCATACTGAGGCTCGTAGGAAGCACGGACCTCCTCCTCATCTTCCTCTTCCTCCTCCTCCTCCTCCTCAGCGGGAGCTTCATATGTCTCCTCGTCGTCGTCGTCATCAGACACCTCAGGGGTGGGGTACTCGGTGGGCACGGGGGTGGGCAGGTGGTCGCCCTGCGGCTGGAAGCCGCCCTCGCCGGCCGAGTACACCACGGTGTAGGTGACGCCGTCGGGGGCCACGTAGCTGAACTGGCCGCTCACACTGTAGCTGTCGTCATCCTCCGTCTGGCCAAACTCCGACACCGAGATGCCGTTCTCAGTTTCAAAACTGCAATCATGACGAAACAGCTAAATGATGCGAGTAATAAGCGATGAGTACGTATTCAGTGTGCCTCATAAGCATTTTTGAGAGTTATGTGGATAACTGAATGGCGTAAGTAAAGAATAGCGGCGATGTTGGTTGGTGAAACCAAACGTACACAGAACACCGACACGAGCGGGTCTAAAAAGACAATCGGCAAGGGCATGTGCCGGCAGCCAGTGTGATTTAATAGTGACCCGGGTTCATGTTTGTATGCTTAACTGATCTTTAGCCTTCCATGTATTTACCACTTTATTTTAATGGCTTGAGACACGAGCCCAGGACAAACGGTGCGATGCATGAATGGCTCTAATCAGAAATGAACTCAATGGCATGGTGTTCAAAGACACCAAATTCATTTTCAACATTGCTTTGGCCTGTCATTTGTGACTTTCCCGAGTTGGTATCTGACCATGCATATATCGGACTAATTTTGATGTCATAATAGTGGTGTAATACGGGCAGCGTCAAAGTCTTCCTCATTGACTTACGACTGTTGGTAAGAGTGGTCGTCGTTGTGGTCGATGTTCTGTCTGAGGATCTCGACGATGTCCTCTTCGTAGGCAGAATCAGACGGAGCGGCGGCTGCCACGGCCAGAACGGCGGCGAACACGAACTGAAACGAAATGGACGTTAGATGCATGCCTCGCACTATTTATGAGATTAATTTAAGTCAGGAAATAGGTAGCGCTGTGCTGTGAGAAGCGTTTAAACGTGACCATACATTTTTTTACTGTGGTATTCGAATTCAGTCTTGTGTCTTGCGGGATGGTGTGAAAACTTTCAAACTTCACTCGCGTGTCATTGTTTTAACGACGCCGGTACTCACCAGCTTCATGCTGAGTAGATGCAGTTCGTCAGTAGTAGACTGATATCCTCACCGCCCGTCGCTGTGTCTTTTATACTGTCAGCTGTTATTGAGCCATCGCAGACAAGGACGCCGTTAGGTCACCAGAGACTGTCGCGTGGGGCCAGTGAGGCGGGTTTGCTCGATATTTCACATCTTAGAGGGCCAACCAATGACGGTGCTAACTACAGGGGTGATGAGAGCATGCATCCCTCACTTTTCAACACCCTTTGGCAGCCAACTTGCCCCCGCACGACACTAAGGCGCCCTTACTAGGATCTCTTGGAGTACATCAAGTTTTGACTGACTATATATGATCTGGCTGCTCCATCTAGATTCTTGCAAACGTCCACCAGATACTGATCTAGTTTTATGGACATTCATGATAGTCTGGTCCCCGTATGCTGGTTCCCATGTGTGCATAAACGCTTTGTAATATGCGGGGGCAACCATGCATTTTCTCAGATTTTTTGCGTGCTTGCAGGGTGATTTCAATTTCCTTCGTTGTTTCTGGGAAGTCATAAATATGTTCGCCTGCATTTATTCACTTTATTTTAAGCTAGATAACGTTTAGTAATGTTGCAAGAAATTTGTTTGTCATTTTCAAGTGTAGATCAGTCGGACCGAAAACATTCAAATACGACGAAATACGAGACGTGCTCAGCAAGACATATTTAAACGTGTATCATCACTTAAAACATTGTACATCCGAGGATGAGGTCTAAGTACCAAACAAACACGGACATATGCACAATCCATTTCCCATCATTTTGAGACCATAGCAAGCTCAAGACATTGAATCAACCTGTCATTGGTGACTGAATAGGTCTGAAATGATACATGGCCTAAGCTGTGACGATTGATAGCCTCGTAATGGATTTTGGAAAGTACATTAGACGTACAGTATTGCTTTCTGCGGAAATTATCGTATGTAACATTTTTATTAAGTTTGGCGTGAACAGCACGAATGCTTGAGCCGTAACTGCTAGCGTTATGTTCTTTTCAGTCAAATCATTTGATTCAAAGCTATCTCCTCAGGTTGCTGAACTTTAGCTGATGTTCCTAAGATGGCTTTTTAGGACGACTTTTGATCTCGCGTTTATTAAAGAGCTCGGGTATTTTATCCACGACGACTACCGTAGGCAGCTTTGTAACTGAAACTTAACGACAGCGTATAAACGTGAAAGTTTCGCTTTCATTGGTATAACATATGTGGAGCAATAGGAATACAGGCTCGCGTCGGACCACATACTTAACGTCATCTGGCCTGCGGTCGAGTTCACAGGTGAATCAGGGATCACCAAGCCGAATTTCTTCAACTGGCTGCTGAGAAGACGGTGTCTGGTCACGGCTGGTTGCGTCATAGAAATGAATAGAAGGCGAGAGATCACCCATTGACAGCTTTGTAGATAGGGCAGTACTAAGAGCATTGTTCGTCCTAGAATAAGCACTAGAATGGAAAGAGAGATGAATTGGTGTCTTGGCTACATGTCAGATTTTGTCATCGCTTTTATTTTGCTTACTCCAAAAGCGCATCACTCATTGCCTTGGGGGCCCAGCGGAGCGGTGATTTGCAAAGATCAGGCTTTCAATTTTACTCTGTTTTGCACGGATCTTGCTCTTGTTTTACTCTTGCTCACATAATGGGATTGTCGGAGCACTAAAATCCGCCAATGTAAGTCTGTCACTGGGGGCTAACTCGGGCCGGCCTACACGTAGTTTGATGGCCATAATACGGGAATCCAGTAAAAAAAAAACACACTTAAATCCATACCCCGGATTTACTACCGTGTGCATTCGACAGCACTGGCTTAGGACTATCAGATGCAAGTGAAACACACTCGTCGGAATTTCTTTTAGATTTTACTCAGTTGACCCCCCCCCCCTCGTATAGCTTATCACCGCAGCTACCGGGCGGGCGGAACTGTCGATTCACACAAACACGGCATACGATTTGTAACCATTTATATTTGCGCACGGAAAGTCTAAACTTGCATAAACGATGTTATTCTCAGAGCACCCTCGGTCGGCGATGCAAATTTTGTATCGGCCGGCGTGACCGCCTTTGTTCAAATTACCCTGTCACAGCGCACAACTAGCGGTGACCGACCACCATGCAGATTGATGTCTATAAACCATCGACTCTTGAAAACATAGCATAATTCAACCCAGAGATTGGAACTCTGTGCACGCAATGCCACTCTTATAGTGGTTTTAAGTGCCAGTACAACACACTCGTCATATTTTATTTTCGTATTTAATTCGGTCGACATCCCCAATGCGTATCACTCGATGGTTGTTGGACCGCCGGAGTATTGCTTTGCAAAGATATGACCTGCAATTTCATCTATTTTTACTTTCGCGCTGCAGGTGTTACCTAGCGCACACGATGTCGGAGCACTACCGCCGGGAATGTAAACTTCTGATCGGCTGACAGGACTTTGTTTATCAAATCACCTTTTGACAGCACACAACTAACGTTACCCAGCCAGCACGAAGGGTTATATCCATACTGCCGCAGCCCGGGAAAATACTTGCCATCAAACCAAACGATTGCCAATGTATCCATTCGAAAGCGCTGGTATAGGTCCATCGGGCACAAGTGCGCCACACTCGTCATATTTTTTTCGATTTTGTTCAATCGACTCCGCGAATGCGTGTCAGTTTCTCATCGACCGACGCGACTTTGTATGTTCCAATCGCCCTTTCGCAGCGCACAACGAACGGCGACCAGCATGCACATAGAGTGATGTCCATAATGCCGCGGCTCTTGAAAAAAACCCGCGTCAGCCCGCTGAAACAACAGCATTTTCGGCCATTTGACTTTAGAATTGGCTCGGTCTGTGCCTCTCTTTAATATCGTCTCATCGATACGACAGTATTCGATTGAACTTGGCTTATCGATATCATACTGGGCGTATCGAATGACGCGTGCTTCGTGCGTTCTCCGGACAGCAGTGCTGCACCTGGCGGCGCCCCGCGACCCTGGGCAGGTCATCAGGCGAACTGACCAGTTGGCAAACTGACTAATGAGGGACAGGATCGCAGGACGGGCGTTGTGTAACAGACGGGTCCTCCAATTACCGACCGCTGCCGGTCGCGCCTACCGTATGTGTCGCGACGGGGACACGCTGCCACGCACGCATCAGAATATCGGTTCCACGAAGGACATCTCAATAGGCTCAATAGGTCAGTGAATCTATTTTCCAGGCACTTGACTCGACACGGTCCATTTAAACTGAGACGTAAAGTACAAACGACGACAGCGAGTGAGCCAGTAACTCATCGTTGCGATCAAGCCAGCTGGTCCGCGCAATGGCCCACATTCGGATAGCCACAGTTTTCAAGGTGAATGTCGTTATTTGAAACGGCTCGCGCCAAATAAAAACATCAAGCATACCTTCTTCGTGGCACCATGTTCACAAGTTCTAGGAATGGGGGTGTTTTCCACACAAAGCAATGTGTACAGTTTGGCAATGCTATAACTGAGGACTGCGACGCTTTCGACAGTTCGCGGCTCAGAAAAACATGCCACCCAATTGCGCGATCGGTCCCGTGACCTCACAGCGCGCGGTGAGCGGCCAGGAATGGGATCGTCGGATTGTCAGATAGCGAACGGCTGACCCCGCCTGCACCCAAGTCGTACTCATTAACGACCAGCGCTCTCCACAGAGTGCATCTGTCGCACATGGGTGGCATACTACGCGCGCCGTTCCACGCAAATGTTTCTCGGATGTTCTTCCAAAGGCGATGGCGGATGTTCTTCCAACTTTGCCGGATTGTGGACTCGGCGCTCGCCACCGTCGGCGCGTTTCACTTCCCACTAAATTCGTCGCTAAATGCTGCGATGTTTTGATCAAAGCAGCCATACTCGACGTCAAGTGATAACTGTTTTTCTACGCTTCAGGCGAGCACGTAGTCCGAATGTTCCTCAAGGGGGGGGGCACGTAAATTTCCCTCCCAAAACCTTAAAATTCGAACTAAATCTTTTGAAATCTCCCGGTACCAAGAGTAAGCTAGAGCAAACGGGGCATATGCTTCATGCCTCTGTTCCCATGGTTACTTTACAGGCTTTACAGACGGTGTTTGACTGTCCTTGCATTAAAAAGTATCCGTGAATTGTTTTTTATATGAAACTCTTGCCTTAGTTTGAGAAACCTGCTTCGTGGCAAATAGTTTAAGGCCATCAAGCGTTCATACATTTCTATGCAAGTTCTCAAAACATTGAAAAATACTTCGAAGTGTTTCGAACAGGTGGTCTTTTTGAAGACGGATGGTCACTATCAAACAATAAGTCTTAAGGCTCCGTTGCTAACGGAAAGCCAATGGAAGGTGCACAATATGACCCCAAACTTCAATCTCACATTACTAATACGGCTTGTTGCACAGGAGGGTGGCACATACGTCTTTCACAGGCCTGGGAACGGGTGTGGGCTTTGTGGGTCCCATGACAACTAATTTTTCTCAGAATGCTAAGCATTAATATTGTGACAACGAAAGAAAATAACCCACCCGAAGATTGGTTTTGGCCCATCCCACCCACACATATACAAACTTTAAGACGCTCCATAGCCTATGCATGCTTTGAAAAACGCATTTATTGTTTCAAGCAAAGGGCAAATAGCTAAAACGTGCAGATGACCACCGGACTTATCCCTGGGTCGCGTGGCCCAATATTTGACCTTACATTTGTGTTGTGTTTTATGTAACAGAAACAGGTCGTTCGGTTGTAAATTTGCATGGTAAGTTGTGCATTATGCATATTCACAACACAGCTTTTTTCATTTTTCGCAAAGAAAACAATGCACTCAAGCCCCTGCACAACACAAGAAAACGCAGCACATTGGAAGTGTTATTTTTCATTATGTATCTTAGCATGTGGTGCGCATATATAATCGTTAAACACACAATCATGTAGGTCTTGTTTGGCAGAGGGGTAAAAACCAGCTGAAGCACGGTTACAGTTTCCGGACGAGATGGTTTCATCTCTA